GGCTGAATGAGATGGGATATGAGCATGTGACAGTGAATCATAGTAAGGAATTTGTGAATGCAGAGAATGGTGCGTGTACTAATAAAATTGAGAGTATGTGGAGAGCGGTGAAAGCGTCCCTGTCCAGGTATGGAACTACAAAAGGATTGTATGACAGTTATTTTGTTGAGTACATTGTGAGGAAGAAATATTTACGTTGTTCTGATGATCCTTTTGTTACATTTCTTACTTTTATCTACCATGTCTTTGACCCCCAAAAACCTGCATGATTATTTTAAAACCTTTCCTACAAATAATAAAAATGAAACTAAAGAAACTAAATATGAAAATGAAAACATCCAACCGACCGATGAGTTCAATGCATCCGCAGATTTGTTCCTGTGAGGTAAGTGAAGCATTTTGATATTTGTTGTCCTAACGCTGGAGACGTAAACTTGCCTTTTTGTTTATTGTAGATGAAAATGGAAAAAGAATGATACATTGATGCATCTAAGGGATAAAATATATCATTGTCAAAATATATAATATTAAAAATCATGGAATTTCAAGGGCTAACATGTAACAATACATTACTGGGGTATTTTTATGTCAGCGTCTTTCTCAAAAATATGAATCAAAATTGCAATTGACAAACGCAGAAAATAATACTAACCCTAAAACAGTGTTGAACGGGAACAAAGGGCTAGAAAATATTATCGATTAGTATCCAAGGCCTATTGAATAGGCCCAAACAGCGATCTTGTCAATCGCTAGAGTATACAAAAAATGATGTGAGCGTTAGTGCTCGCTTCCATGTACAAATGGCTTCTGCGCATGTCTGTAGCATATACTTCCAGGGACCCGTAAAGTGCAGTCTACCCTTCATTTTTTAATAGGGGTATTGTAATAGTCAGCCTCAGACATAAACGGTCGAGAGCTTTGTTTTTTGCGCACGTTCCCGAGATCATTTTCATGTCTTTTTTAACTATTCAAGACATGATTATTTATTATTACATACACTTCTAGATCTAGTATCATGGATGACATGTAGCAAATTGAAACTTAATGATGAAAAACCTCAGGCTATGTTGGTAGGGTCTAAGCAACAGCTTCAGATGTCAACTGACAAGAACTTAAAACTTGTGATAGGTAACCCTGTTATAGATTTCTCACCCCGGGTAAAAAAGTGGTGTCTATTTTGACTCTACTCAAACATTTATATTTTGCAGCACTTTGAGCACCCACTTAGTGGTTGGATTTAGTGCTATATATATTTTCACTATCATCATTAGTAATAGTATGTAAAAATCAATGTATATTGTAGTTATAAGATCAATTTAATTTATTATCGTAAGATTTAACAGTTTTAGTTCGCTCCAGAGATCGGCTCGAATTGTCCCTCAATCTACAGGCAATTATGTCATCAGGAAATGTGCTGTCAATTCTGAAATTGTTTTATGCATTAAATATACCAAAATACTTATGCAGGCATGTTCCTGGACATGGTATTTGGTAGTCTACATCCGTGTAATTTAATGTCATGTCTTATTTGGTGTTTAATTACATTCTTCTCGCTCTAATATTTAGAATCTTCTGCTATACATATACTCGTAGAATGACGTCACATATCATGATCTCATTCAAAATCAGTTGAAGACATAACAGACTGAACTTAAGTTGTAGATTTTGGCCGAGAGATATTAGGAAATTTTACGATTCCATAGACGTTTATTAGAGTTTTTATATAATAATTATCGTGCATCATTATTGACTCTGCCTTTGCACACAGTAATTATTCTTTTGGATTAATTAAAATCTAGAAATAATAGAAGTAATATAGATTTCTAAACTATCATAACTGACAAACCTTTAAATTAGCAAAGTTTACGTCTTGCAGTTTGCTCACCCATAATTTGCCATTGTAACTTAAAAAATAATAAGTAATGATTTCCATTGACTTTTATTGTTTGTTTGAATTTTCTTTTAAATCTGTTTTATGTATATACGGTTGGGATGGGACAGCAAACATCCTGACAACCACGTTTCCCACCCCCAACCCATTGCAGGTATCATGAAGACTACACTGGGAAAACTTAATGGACAGAATGCAGGTCCATACCAAATGTAGGATAAGGTGAAACCCCAAAAGAACTCACATCAACATTTTGCATATATTTAGTGAAGAATCTGTGGTAAAAATGAATTATTACTATTTTTTACCAATTAATATTTTATTTTAAATAAAATAATTAAAAAAGATTCTGTTAATAATAAACAAACAACTACTCAAAGTGATATCGATCAGATCTCAACACATGCAACAAAATGGTGTTACTCCAGATAATCAAGAGATCTGTTTTTTAGGTCAAAGGTTGTAAAAATATAAAGACTAGGCATATCAATTCACACTTGAATTAATCCCCACATTTGAGGCACATTCTTTTGGAAGGTCTTGCAGATGCAAAGAGACTTGATGAGGGAGCGTTAATCCCTATAGATATGTATTCTTTTTTGTTCTCTTCTAGGAAAGAGGGAACTTTGGTTTGCCCTAGACTGGAAAGGCCATTCACCTTCAAGAGGTAGAAAATGACTGGAATGGTCCAGTAAAGACTAATTATTAATATGAACACCTATGCACATAGGAGGCAGAGACTGGGAACATTTAATGGAGGCAGAAAGGTTTTATGAAGGGATGTTCAGTCCCAAAGATATATATTCTTCATCTTCATTCCTCCTGCAAAGAGAAAACATTGGTTTGCCCAAGGGGTAGAGGCCATTTGTCTTCAAGAAAAATAAAATAGAGCACAAGCCAAAAGATTTCAAAGAGGAAACATACTGCTGCTATTAAAGAATAATTTTCACTTGAATTATATATTTTTGCAAATTCTTAATTTTGCAAGATCTTCAAAGCACTTCAAAGATCCTACTAAAAGACTTATACGTCAATGGAATAATTTACCAGTCTATAATTGTATAATATACCTGTAATAAGGAACATGTTTGTGATTGAATAATATGTAGCATAGTTCACAATGTTCACATCACATCAAGAAACAGTCTCTTAAAAACATCTACTGAAGAATGAAATTAACTGAACATATTCACAGTTCATATATAGGTTTATAACACAAAGCCATTCCATCCACCATTCCATCAAGTATGTCAGCTGAACCCACTAGTGTACATCTAACGTTGAAGAAGAACAGATTGCAAGCAGCACTACATATGAGGCTTTAGTGGATAATAACCAAGAAAATCATCATGGGTTTACTGTCTTTCTTGAAGATGAGTTGGGGATTGACCGGTCTGACAGCCAGCCTGCATCCAATTCAACAGGGAGAGGGGGAAGAATGAGAAGAGTACCTGTGTGGCTGAAGGACTATGTGTTATAAACCTATATATGAACTGTGAATATGTTCAGTTAATTTCATTCTTCAGTAGATGTTTCAGTAAACTATTTATTGTAGCATTATGGCTTAAATCCACTTTGTAGAGCTACAAATATTGCATTTAGGATATATAGATGCATTGTACATTATTATTATTATTTTGCACAGGCGAAATGTAATACTAAAATTCAACCGACTGTATCCTTGTGCCAGAAGGCAACTTCCTGTATGATGGCACTGTGTTGACAGTTATTGGTGGTTGGAAAGAGAAAAGAAGTTGGGTTTTTGCTAGCGGGACTGAAAATTGCCAGTCCACGACAGAGACATCTTACAGTTTCCATCTTACAGATTGCACTTCTGATTTTAATCTAATACCTCATTGCTGGATTCATTGTCTTGGGAAATCTGAGATAACTGCTCATTATTCTGATCTTTGGAATTAACGGAAGGGTCCTTAAAATCTTCTGTTGTAGATTATTTTAATTGTAATTATTATTATCCCAGAGTATTTTGGCTAAAGAATTTCCGCTTCATTTAACATGTAATAAATGCTCTGTATGTAATTCTTTGTTCTGAAATTTATTCTGATGACTCAAACATTTAAACCTGTGTGGTTGGTGGTATTGGGAGTGTACCTACATTTACTACACAATCTTTGCAATGATTAATATTTTTGTTTGGTCAACTCTCTCAATGTTTAATCATAGATTAGTAATCACTTAACTGTATTGTCTTTTGGATGAAGTCCTTGTTGAAATCTGGATAACATCTAACAGCTCAGAGATTCCAAACGCAATTCTGAATTCATCTGAGGGAATTATCCAAGATCGTAATGATTAAAGAATACATTTTACAGTTACAGTCAAAACAGGTGACTTAACCTAACAGTTTGAATGTTGCCAAATGTCATTGTGATCCGGGTGTTTGTGAGGTAATTGCTTGATGAAGGGTTGCATCTACTGATCCTTACAGTGATCATTCTAGAATCAATTCCATAAACCTAATTCCATGCTCTAATTAGGATTTGGCCTACATGCTGACACATATTACATAGGACAGCTGAAGGAGATGAAGAATCTTGGTCATTCATACCGAAGTCCATGACTTTTGGAATGTACTACTACATGGATTCAGGTAAAGCTGATGCCAAGTTCATACACTGCCAAGTTTCAAAGCTTATTGTACTGTTTAATTATTTTAACAGATCAGTTATATCAATCGTGAAAGGGATACAGACAAAAACCAAATTCTAAAGCCATGATGTAAAAGTCAATCCCTAGCAGCTGATGTTTCCGGTACAGTTGACAGCCAGTATTGTCTCATGATCTCAGAACCTTATGCAAGATTTTTCTGTTCAATGAAAATAAACATGTTATTTAACTTTACCTTCTTGTTGTGTGATCCTTCTGCATCTTGATAGATTCAACATTCATAACTTTAAAGATCTGTGTGACAGTTTTGCTAAACATGCTAAACCTGGACCCCATCCACGGGGTATTTATTTTGTCACCTTGGAGAACAGGACTACATAAACCACAAAAGGCAGACTTAGTTCTCTTCAGAACAGACAGTCTCCCTCTAAAACTGATTACCATTGTTTTCATTCATGTTACAAAATAAGGAAAAATATACATTAATCATGTTTATTATGAAACCATTCCAGGCCCATCCAATTATAACAATGGATTCAACAAAGAATTGGGAGGAATAATCAAATACAATCATTCATAAATAAAAGTCCTAAAATTCCTACTTATAGGGGGGATGATCATGATAATTATGAAGATGTTATTACAGTTAAACTTGCATCCTGAAATTAATGACTTTAGTGAGATAGTAATGTTGCCTCACTGATTGTAGATAGTGCCACAGGTAGCTTCCCACTATGACAAATCCACTAAGATATATATTAAGAGACAAATTGTCTGTTTGCCCGAAGCATCTTCCTACAGTGACAACTTAACTTTCTACAGTGACAAGTTAAGTTATAAAGTCATACCAGGGTGTATTGTTTTACCCATGGTACAGTACTTCCACATCAGCTTATTGTGTAAGAGGCAGTGCTTCAGCCCGGTTTTCTTTTTGAGTGTTGCCAATTGCCACCTTAACTACTAAAATGTGTGCCAATGCAGTTGAGGCTTTTGCCATTCATGGTAACCATGGAATAGAAGAACTGTGGATTATATTAAATGTTGCGCCAATAGGTACGCTCTAGCATTGAAAAAAGTGCCACTCATATTTTTTAGTGTCAATGAAGAGGCCTGAAGTGATGCAGATCTCACTGATCTGTGAGAACCTGAGAGCGCAGGTACGCTGCTGACAATACAACAATGGTATATCCTTTTTTGAATATATAAAATCACTGTGTATAAGGCAAGTTTTTCATAACTAGAATTTATGCACGGGGTAGAAGATATAACATTTGTCTGACTGGCAACGTTAACTGGTGTCTGATAGCCATTGATGTGTGACAGTAAATCTTCACATTTCATATGAAATAACTGTTCCAAGATCTATTTTAGTATATTAATTAACTTCCATTGTATCCAAATTTCTGGTTCACACTATGTATAAGGTATTCTGCAAGTAAAGTTTAAATGAGCCCAGCCTTCATTACGATTGCTGTACAGTAAAAAAAAGTGTGGAATAATGTTTTGGGGAAAACAAGAATCATGAATGAAGTGATCTTGTTTTGTTTCCTTTCTACACAGACAGGAAGCATGTGCCAGCAGACCACATTGGACATATCATTTAATTAAGCATATCAAATTTCTACGTTACAATTGTCACTGAATATGGTGTTGAGCCTTGCTCATAAAATATCCCGAATGCTGCTTGCTGTCTGTGCAGTATGTTAAGTAATGGCCTGTTCACACAGACCATGGTCTAATGAAACAGATCAACAGTGAACATGGTGAACCTCTTACTCAGACCCTTCACTATCACTTGCTGAATAATTTCCCAGCATGCTCAAACCAGATACAACAGGTTTTGACTGCTCCTTTGGCTCAATGTCTTTAGAACTTGAGTTGTCCTTGTTACTGACAGCTTGTGAGTGACTAGTTGTACTGTTAGCAACTGTGGAACTGAGCTTTGCAGCTGGCTTTTTCTTCACAACCAGGTTAGATAGAGTGTTTTTTGATGATAAAGATCCGACACTTCTTTGCCAGCTTTCTTGTTTCTTTGTTTCCTGTTTCTTCTTTTCTGGGTTCACCTGTATAAGACATGACAACATTGTTTATCTGAGTTACAAAAGTCAGTGTCAAAACCAGAACTTGGATCTCTGCATTATTTGAAGTTAATTTCAGTGTTTTTAAACGGACTAATATTTCTGAACTTACGTAATTTGACATAACAGACTTTTTACTAGGTATGGGCTTGTGTCCAGCAGATGAAGTATTAGACTGTTACATCTGAACAAGGTGTAAACAAGAGAAATACTAAATATACAATTTGTTACATCTTCAAGTCAGAAAAATAAAACTTCTTTTGTGAAAAAAAATTGCCAGTCAAATTTGGTTACATATAATTGTGAATAACAAAACTTCAAAAGCTGACTTGGATCTGTTGACATGCAACAATCTCTGCAGTCTGAAAATATTTAAGTCTAGATCAGACAATCCAGTGATAAACAGTATGAGCATCGATCTACACATATGGGATACAATGACATGTGTCAACCAAGTCAGTGAGCCTTACCACCCAATCCTGTTAGTCACCTCTATGAAAAGCATGGGTTGCTGAAGACCAATTCTAACCCAGATCTTCATGGGTTATGTTAGCAAGTAAGCTCATCAAGATATTCTGCAAGTGATTAACTGTGACAAATACGGTACCATCTTTATCTGTCAACCTACCTCAGCAAAAATATCAGTAGGCCTCTCTGGGGGAGGTTGCTTCTTGACAGGCGGAGCATCACAGCTGTCTTCATCACTGTCAGAGTCTGCCAGTCTCTTCACTGCCTCACCATTCTTCTCTCCAAATATAGACCTGCAAGAAAGTCAGTGGCAACATTACTCATAGATTTTAAGAACGAGACCACTAAGAAGAGAAAGGGAAATTTCTCATACTTATAAATGAGTGCGGAGTAAAGCACCACCTTGAACAGTATTTTAGCTATTTCATGTCATGCCTGCTTGATGTGAGAGGAAAACCTGTACAGTATTTTAGTTATTTCATGTCATGTCAGCTTGATGTAAGATGAAAACCTGTACAGTATTTTAGTTAATTCATGTCATGCCTGCTTGATGTGAGAGGAAAACCTGTACAGTATTTTAGTTATTTCATGTCATGTCAGCTTGATGTCAGAGGAAAACCTGAACAGTATTTTAGTTATTGCATGTCATGCCTGCTTGATGTGAGAGGAAAACCTGTACAGTATTTTAGTTATTTCATGTCATGCCTGATTGATGTCAGAGGAAAACCTGTGCAGTATTTTAGTTATTTCATGTCATGCCAGCTTGATGTCAGAGGAAAACCTGTACAGTATTTTAGTTATTTCATGTCATGCCTCATTGATGTCAGAGGAAAACCTGTACAGTATTTTAGTTATTTCATGTCATGCCTGCTTGATGTGAGAGGAAAACCTGAACAGTATTTTAGTTATTTCATGTCATGCCTGCTTGATGTCAGAGGAAAACCTGAACAGTATTTTAGTTATTTCATGTCATGCCTGCTTGATGTCAGAGGAAAACCTGTACAGCATTTTAGTTATTTCCATGTCATGCCTGCTTGATGTGAGAGGAAAACCTGTGCAGTATTTTAGTTATTTCATGTCATGCAAGCTTGATGTGAGAGGAAAACCTGAACAGTATTTTAGTTATTTCATGTCATGCCTGATTGATGTCAGAGGAAACCTGAACAGTATTTTAGTTATTTCATGTCATGCCTGATTGATGTCAGAGGAAAACCTGTACAGTATTTTAGTTATTTCATGTCATGCCTGATTGATGTCAGAGGAAAACCTGTGCAGTATTTTAGTTATTTCATGTCATGCCAGCTTGATGTGAGAGGAAAACCTGAACAGTATTTTAGTTATTTCATGTCATGCCTGATTGATGTCAGAGGAAAACCTGTACAGTATTTTAGTTATTTCATGTCATGCCTGCTTGATGTCAGAGGAAAACCTGTACAGTATTTTAGTTATTTCATGTCATGCCTGCTTGATGTGAGAGGAAAACCTGAACAGTATTTTAGTTATTTCATGTCATGCCTGATTGATGTCAGAGGAAAACCTGTACAGTATTTTAGTTATTGCATGTCATGCCTGATTGATGTCAGAGGAAAACCTGTGCAGTATTTTAGTTATTTCATGTCATGCCAGCTTGATGTCAGAGGAAAACCTGTACAGTATTTTAGTTATTTCATGTCATGCCTGCTTGATGTCAGAGGAAAACCTGTACAGTATTTTAGTTATTTCATGTCATGCCTGCTTGATGTGAGAGGAAAACCTGAACAGTATTTTAGTTATTTCATGTCATGCCTGCTTGATGTCAGAGGAAAACCTGAACAGTATTTTAGTTATTTCATGTCATGCCTGATTGATGTCAGAGGAAAACCTGTACAGTATTTTAGTTATTTCATGTCATGCCTGCTTGATGTGAGAGGAAAACCTGTGCAGTATTTTAGTTATTTCATGTCATGCCAGCTTGATGTGAGAGGAAAACCTGAACAGTATTTTAGTTATTTCATGTCATGCCTGATTGATGTCAGAGGAAACCTGAACAGTATTTTAGTTATTTCATGTCATGCCTGATTGATGTCAGAGGAAAACCTGTGCAGTATTTTAGTTATTTCATGTCATGCCTGATTGATGTCAGAGGAAAACCTGTACAGTATTTTAGTTATTTCATGTCATGCCTGATTGATGTCAGAGGAAAACCTGTGCAGTATTTTAGTTATTTCATGTCATGCCAGCTTGATGTGAGAGGAAAACCTGAACAGTATTTTAGTTATTTCATGTCATGCCTGATTGATGTCAGAGGAAAACCTGTACAGTATTTTAGTTATTTCATGTCATGCCTGCTTGATGTGAGAGGAAAACCTGTACAGTATTTTAGTTATTTCATGTCATGCCTGCTTGATGTGAGAGGAAAACCTGAACAGTATTTTAGTTATTTCATGTCATGCCTGCTTGATGTGAGAGGAAAACCTGAACAGTATTTTAGTTATTTCATGTCATGCCTGCTTGATGTGAGAGGAAAACCTGAACAGTATTTTAGTTATTTCATGTCATGTCAGCTTGATGTGAGAGGAAAACCTGAACAGTATTTTAGTTACTTCACGCCATGTCTGCTTGATGTGAGAGGAAAACCTGAACACAGTGAAGATTCGTTGTTGTTTAAAGGGGAAGTGTGCACGAATACATCACATTTATTCTTAAGTGAAAATACGAAAGAAGCAGAAGAACAGAAAATGTAAGCAGCAGGACAGATTGACCGTGTGTATTTTCCTTCATAACCTCACCTCAATGAAAATACCAAATATGTATACCAAAGTTGACATCCGTATGACCTCACTATCGGGAAGTGACTTATTCAAATGGTGTGTTCAATGACAAGAGTACACTGGAGTTTTCGAAGGAAATTTTCGTTGTTTCAAGCAACGTATATGCATAAAGGTGACATGTAAGTAGTCCAAAAATTCTGTCAGTCTGCTGGTTGTTAAATATTTTCTTTTTATTTTCATTGTGACCAAGGGAAATAGTCAGACATTAAGAGTAGTACCGTCATCGTTGTGCGTGAGTTTGTGTCAGTCATGGCGTCATGCTTTCAGAAACTGTAATATGTTGTGATGAATCTAGAAAATCATTGGAATACACCTATTTTACATAACTATGGCTTGCTACCATACCTTTCCCATGCATGTTTTAAAACTAATGAGAAAGTGTATGCAACAAGTAGGCGATTTGATACACTGTTTAAAATTTGAGATTGGCTTTGTTTACATTTCATACAAGTGGTCCTTTCCCAGGGCGGCATCTGTTATATTTCATTAGATTTTACTGAAACACTTCGAATTGGTGACAAAGTCCATTTGTCAGTTTATTTTGTTCTGTATGAGGAATTCAAGGATTCGTTTAAGGAAGGTGGTGCTGAATTATACAATTGATTTTATGGGTGAAACATTACCGACATACATGTGACGTGATTTTATAAACGTTAATTGTGTTTGCATATTTTCCATAACATTCTCAGCGATTCTCGGTTCATCGATAATGTTTCAGAATGAGCATTGGTGATTCGATCATACAACAACAAAACTACCGCTGATCACAATGATAAGTCTTTTTCTTCTAAATTCATATCTCCCAGTACAATTTGACATTTTAATTAAGGCATACTATTGTATTATAAAACGCAGTGAATGGTGATTTAGTAATGTGTCAAAACTGGCGAGATTTACGATGCATGCAATTTTCAGGATATTTGAATATTTGATCTACAATGAGCGGATGATACCATAGAAATACGAATTTCAAACAGAGTTCAAAACTGCAAATTGCATTTATCTTCGTGATGTACTAGTATTCGGATATGTATCGATATCAAAGTGAAGGTGGAAGAGGAGGGACATATCATAAGATTTACGTAGGAATTTTAGAACAAACGTAGAATGCCAGCACATTCACCGATGGCAAGCTAGATGTAGTGCATATACGTTTTAGTTTTTGTGAAAAAAGATACTGTTGGAAAGGCAACCGACTCAGGTTGAATGTTATACAATTTGGTTACGTGGTAACACTTTAGTTCAATGTATACGATTTTTTCAAACTGCAACGTCTTTACAGTGTAGAACTGACCGTATAGCCAGCTGACGGCCAGGCAACAGGTGGATTAAAACAGTAGCCTGCGTGTCGAGACACAAGAACCACACCTATACCTGCACCACGTGATATGGGTCTAAAAAGGTCTGACGTCATTCATTTATCAGTCGAGCACCAATGACGTCATTTCCAAGGGACATAAGCCATGGTGTGTTTATTGTGGACATAGAACTCTCGGTAAATGTTGAAAATACGAATTGATATAACGCAAAAAATAAATTAATTCTGATATACGTATGGGTTTGGGAATAAAACTACTTGATAAACCCTTTTTATGATGAAAAAGTGCAAGACGAAAAGGTTAATTTTCGTGTACACTTGCCATTAAACGCTGCACTCAGATATATGGCGGTGGTCTCTAAATAATCAAATCTTGACAAGACAATCCAGTGATCAACAGCATCAGCATTGATCTACGCAGTTGGGATATGATGACTTGTGCCAACCAAGTCAGTGAGCCTGACCACCTGATTCCTTTAGTCGCCTCTTATGACAAGAATGGGTTGCTGAAGACCAATTCTAACCCGGATTTTCAAGGGTCACAGAGTGAAGAGATACAACTCTGCAACCAATTCAGTACTCAGTTTGTTGTTTAACGCAACACTCAGGAATATCCCAGCTATAAGCAGAGAGATAAGTGAGCAGATCGGGCAATGTATGGCTACAAAGAGGACTTGACACTATTGGCAGTTTTGAGGAGGTGCTGCATCTTAATCAACAATGTAACTGCAGAATTTAAATAGTCATGTCTAGGTTACCCACTGACTGAAAGCTTGGGCAACCATCTTATCCATCAGAGTGCAATCAGACATGGAACCTGACCACACAATCAATATTGTGGCAGAACTTACAGGAGTGGAAATAACTTTACAATTGCTAGTGTACTCCGGGTACAGTTGCACATGTAAAATCACTTGCCCTGATATTTTTTTCACTATACCGGCCAATTTTCTTAATGATTTTTTAAATAAACAACATAATTAACATTGGAAAGTCAACTGGACACAGGTACAGCATGATATACAAATTTGCTTGCCCGACAGAAAAAAACACTGGACTGGGTCGTTGGGCAATGGGTTATTTCCACCCCTGCCTTACAACTGCTGTGAGGCACTTTGTACCTAATCTGACCTAATCTAATCTAATAGTATTGGTCACGGTGAGTCACATAACCTACTCTATAATCTTCTCATCCTCTTCATCTTGTAATCTAGCCAGCAGTTCTTCATACTTCTGATGGACTTGTATCATCTGTTCATGGTCCAGATTAGCCTTCTTTGAGTTGATCTCTTTCAGCTCCTCCAGTTTATCAAGTTCCTCTATTTCATTCCTGCTGGCTTTCGTCCTGTTCTCAAGCACCTGGTTATTAATGAGCATGATTAATGATGGATTATGATAATTTGATAATTTAAAAACTTCAAGCAAAAAGTATTTACATAAAACTCCAAAGTACAGAAATACATTTAAGAAGGTTGGAGATGCTATCTTAACCATGTTAACAGCTGACAAAGTGTATCTTTTTGCAACAAGAGTACAAGATAGGAAATCTTTCAAAATCAAATATCTTGCAGGTTTAATGAAAATAACACATTTCGCCCAAACACTATGATATCATGATCCATCACAGCAAAACACAGGACATACCTTCATTGGGTTCATCTCTTCATCTTCTTTCTCCTTCTGTTCAGCAGCAGCCATCTTTTGTGCCAACTTCTCCGCCTCAAACAGGCGTTGGGCTCCAGCTTCCAAGGCATAGTCAGTGTTCTCCAAGTCAGTCTATCCACAGAAACAACAATTAGACCCCGTGGTGTGAAACATCATGCTTCTGAGGCTTGCCAACAATTTCAAATTTGAACTCAGTATAATAACTTTTTCTTTACAGTAGACTATGGTTATTACGTACTCAAAAGGACCATTAAAGGCACAATGTCACACCACACTTCTCTAAAAATACATAATGCATCTCTCTCAATAATAATATCAGCCCTCAGGGAGGCCACCATATAATTTATTCCAAAACAAAATACATATTTAGATTACAATATTAAATAAAAAGTTCAAATGAATTAATGCAATATTGCATTACATCAACTCTTGCGCCCTCTACCGGCCAAACATTATTTGAAACTAACCCCATAGATTTATGTCCCTTGGCGCACTCTTTATGAATATCCTACGCACAAATTTTGATTGAAACCAGTTCGGCAAACACCAACAACACTGCGTGCGACAGTTTTCAATGTACGGAGCAAATGTTTACATTCCATATATGCCAAGTGTTATCTGTATGGAAGTTGTTTGTTGTGAAGTCACAACTATCGATTTCTGGGAAGTTGTAAGGGATAATAAGTCTTTATTTTTGCATCAATAGGAAGCTAAAGCGAGTGCATGACTATGTACCGGTACTCTGTTGTTTTGGTTTAACAGTGGTTATGGCTTGAGTAGGAATCATATATGCCATGGTGTAAAATAGGGATTTCAAAGCAGAGGAAGCTCTCAGTTTCTTGACTGAGTTGCAAAAGCATTGAGTTTTAGGTGGAAAAAAGAACCAGGTCGACAATCAGGTCGATGTTGTGTGTCTATAAAAAATAATTAGTCTTTGAAATCAGAACTGCTGGAAACTTTCAAGAACAGTAATTGTTATTGTCACTTGCATGTATGACCAAAATTTAAGAAAGTTTACAAAAGATATGAGGGTTTTTCACTCCCTTTAGCATGCTCAGTCAGATATAGGATATCTTACCTTGAAAGCAATCTCAGCTACACATCTTGGACACTTGATGTAAAACCGGAAAATTCGTAGCCCAAGATAAAACTCATCATCCACATTTTCTTTGCGAGAATTGAACTTCTTGCCTTTGTAAATGTATTCTCCACAAGTATTGCATCTGTCAAGAAAAACAGTTCCACACTCAACAATTTAAAAGTATGATTACAAAAGTTACCATGTTTACTAAACATTCAATCTGACATTGCTAAAACAATACTACTGCAAGACATTTAGAAGATACCTTGAACAATGTAGAAGACTGAGCTGTATTTCTACATCTAGAATATTTGAATCAAGGGATTCCTAAGTTTCATCTTTAACTCTAACATGATTCAGTAGGTTCAATAAGTGAGTTAGCGATTTTGGTTCAATACTGCTTTTAACAGTATTCTATTTACCATATCAGTACTTCACTGTCGATAAAAGCGATCAAATCCATAAACAGTCCTCTAGCATGTCATCTAAATGTGGGATGCAACGTTCGCGATGTTTACATTCCCACAATGCATTTAAGTTGTAGAATGAATGAATTCACGTGTTTGTTATGAATGAAAAAATAGTTACGTCAGAATGTGACCTAATTGAGAGGTCATCGGTTATCCAATCAAATCGTTAGAATCTCAGGTCAAGTCGTTACGACACAGGTCAAACGCTACAACACTTGTGTGACGTACGAGATTAGTATGCAACTACCCATACGTTGACCATGTGAGTAATAAACTGCAATATTACCATGGTAAACTCTAGGGTACATGTTTGTATATACATACCTCATGTTAAAAGGTGCCATGATACGAATGCTGAAGGTCCTGTTTTTCGGCATTCGCATCTTGGGAATTTTAGACGGATCAAAATCCGGAGGGTAGTATTTCTGAAATCAAAACACAAGTATTAAGTTTTGCTCAAAATGTCTGTCTAAACGTTATAATACATAACTGACAGTAACAAGCTGTTAAAATAGTTATAAGTCATCAGGCTATTATGGATACTAGCAGAAATGTACCCAGAGAGATTGTACCCGACAAAAATGGCTAACTTGTACCTCAAATTCTCATCAGATTCGAAACTGTTGTGGAGCATTTGTACTGTTTTTGGTCGACTCGTACCCAAATTTTGATTTTTAGGACCCATTTACTTCATGGCCGAAACGAGAGTGCATTAACTGGTGTTATACAACACAAGATATATTTTTGTTTTAATTTCTTCATCCCTTATTCCTGTACTTCAAAGCAATTTCCGTTTAAGATTATTACTTTTCCAACATTCATACGTTGTACTTTTCCAACATTTAGTCATGTTACATTTCCAACATTCATACATTCATACATTGTACATTTCCAACATTCATACATTTCCAACATTTAGTCATGTTACATTTCCAACATTCATACGTTGTACATTTCCAACATTTAGTCATGTTACATTTTCAACATTCATACATTGTGCATTTCCAACATTCATACATTATTTCAAAGCATTTATTCATTTTACAGTAACATCATATCATTCGGATTCGGATTCACTGGGTACAGGTAATGACACATTTGGTACGAGTCCGCAAAAAAACGAGCGTTCGAATCTCCGTGTGTACGGATTTCTAGTTCGAACTATTTAGTGATGTTCAGCTGACACGCCACAAATAACAAAGTAATTATAAAACTAAGTTTTACTCACGTTCAAAACTTTTCTTTCCGACATTTTGAGTTGTAGGGTGTAACCTTTCCTCAAATGCTTCTTGTTACGAAGTGACTGCTTCGTTCAATACGGTTTACTTTAGTGTTCCCGTAACCCTTTCTGAGGTTCGTTTATCGTCGTCTTCGGCAGAAACGGAAGAGGAAATGCCAACACTGCCACCTGTCAAAGAAAGACAACTCTTGATCACTCAAAGGACGTGGGGAAATTCAAATAGTTTGTTTATATAACACTCGGATATATATCATAATCTGAATAAATAGAGAGATATATGAGCTTTTTTGTGTATCTATTTAATTATGCTCATCCCCAGAATATTAGACCTTCGTTATTTTGTAAATTAATGATAACTGACGTTTGGCATTAGATTTATCGAATGCATATATGCATTCTTGACCAGCGGGTCCTGTCCCAGTTTTAGACGGATCTTCTTGCAGGCTAGGGACAGGATGGGTGGCGACGAATGGAGTTGGTGGATCGCACACTCCGGCGCAGTGATGACTTAGCTAATGACGTCATACAGTGCTATTCAATGACGTCATGTAACGAGCAAATTCCCCCCCCCAAAAAAAGGAAAAAAGATGCAATATTTATCTTTAGGAAATGTTTGATATTTTTCTTTTTCTTGCGTTTCCGAGCAAAAATGTGTAAGGGCAATGACTTATTTATTTAATTTGTTACAAATCAAACATGAAAACTGCGAGACTTGCTGATTTCTCTTCGAGAAGTGTGTGAGCTGATAAGATTACAATATGCAACACTAAATGTTCATTTCTTCATACCTTAAGAAAATCACAAATACCTGGTGCCGTGTACGTTATGTCATACCTCTGTTATATTACATAGCAAGGAGGGCGACGGTGTAGCCTAGTGATTAAAGCGTTCGCTCGTCCCGAGGAAGACCGGGGTTCGATTCCCCACATGGGGAAAGTCCATTTCTCGTGTCCCCGTATAGTAGTGATATTGATGGAATATATTGCTAAAACGGTGTAAAACTAAACTCACTAATATAGCAAGGTGGTTTATATACAAGTACGTTATGTACTTTTACATCACATCAGGTGTATTAATTCATGCAAATAAAACCACAAAAATTATAAAGTGTTCTTCCGTTCTGACTGCCACAATGCATGGACCAAAGTTTGAGTTTGTTCTTGGTGATAGCGCTGTTCCTCTCAGCACCAGGGTAGAGGACAGCTGAATATATCCTCTCAGCACCAGGGTAGAGGAGAGCTGAATATATCCTCTCAGCATCAGGGTAGAGGACAGCTGAATATATCCTCTCAGCATCAGGGTAGAGGAGAGCTGAATATATCCTCTCAGCATCAGGGTAGAGGAGAGCTGAATATATCCTCTCAGCATCAGGGTAGAGGAGAGCTGAATATATCCTCTCAGCAGCAGGGTAGAGGACAGCTGAATATATCCTCTCAGCATCAGGGTAGAGGACAGCTGAATATATCCTCTCAGCATCAGGGTAGAGGAGAGCTGAATATATCCTCTCAGCATCAAGGTAGAGGAGAGCTGAATATATCCTCTCAGCATCAGGGTAGAGGAGAGCTGAATATATCCTCTCAGCATCAGGGTAGAGGAGAGCTGAATATTTCCTCTCAGCATCAGGGTAGAGGAGAGCTGAATATATCCTCTCAGCATCAGGGTAGAGGAGAGCTGAATATATCTCTCTCAGCATCAGGGTAGAGGAGAGCTGAATATATCCTCTCAGCATCAGGGTAGAGGAGAGCTGAATATATCCTCTCAGCATCAGGGTAGAGGAGAGCTGAATATATCCTCTCAGCATCAGTGTAGAAGAGAGCTGAATATATCCTCTCAGCATCAGGGTAGAGGAGAGCTGAATATATCCTCTCAGCATCAGGGTAGAGGAGAGCTGAATATATCCTCTCAGCATCAGGGTAGAGGAGAGCTGAATATATCCTCTCAGCATCAGGGTAGAGGAGAGCTGAATATATCCTCTCAGCATCAGGGTAGAGGAGAGCTGAATATATCCTCTCAGCATCAGGGTAGAGGAGAGCTGAATATATCCTCTCAGCATCAGGGTAGAGGAGAGCTGAATATATCCTCTCAGCATCAGGGTAGAGGAGAGCTGAATATATCCCCGGAATATGACCAATCTGTTGACAAAGAGACTGTATCGAGACTTGAATCTTGTAAAAGTTGTATTTATGGTGTTAAAATAAAACATTACTAACAATCTCCAAATATTTACAAGGAAATGTACCTTGTGTTTTTATAGACATTTATTCCGTACTTTTGTTAACTGTTGAAAGACATGATTCCAAATGAACTATCGCTGGCCATAAATAAACGAAGCGTACGTACAAGCAGTACTCGACAGAGGCCAATGCGAGCATGCGATTACATGGTCGGGTGAGTGAATTTAGTTTTACGCCGCACTCAGCAATATTCCAGCTGTATGGCGGCGGTCTGTAAATAATCGAGTCTGGACCAGACAATCCAGTGATAAACAGCATGAGCATCGATCTGCGCAATAGGGAACCGATGACATGTGTCAACCAAGTCAGCGAGCCTGACCACCCGATCCCGTTAGTCGCCTCTTACGACAAGCATAGGTTGCTGAAGTTTTTCTGCAACCTCAATCGAGTAGGAATTAATAAGGATTAATTTAGGGGGCTTTCATTATGTGTGAAATATTTGAACATGAACAAGGCCATCATCGTATATTTTAAGCTACGTTCATATACATCTACACAAGATACGGACTGACCAATAGGACACTTCCACATCGCCGATGTAAGAGTACTGAGTATACGACGTTTGAAACGACGGCAAGGACGATCGCGTTAGAATAGTGTCGTACAAACGCTTCCCGACCTCAGTCTGTCACCAGCAACTTTTTGTCCGATACTAAAAAACATAACGATGATCAATTCCGCTCTGGACGCCCAAGGGCAATAACACCAGCCCAAGACAGATTAGTCAAATGGTATTAAGAAACCGGTTGCAAATGAAATAAGGGGTCAGCTGAATCAGGCACCCGAATACATGCCTTCAAGGTACGAAATCGTCAACACAGATGGCGTGTGCGTGGGCGACGTCTACGTGATATTATGGTACTTTTTGTTGTAGATCATCCTTGTGTATTTCTGGACGACGTTAGGGTTTTTTCTGCGGCATCATAGGCGACGTCGCCGACGATGTCGTTTGTTTTTTACGCGAAACACGATGGCAACTATAGTACACCATATATTGCTGAGTGCGGCGTTAAACAACAAACAAACAAACTGGGATAATCGACATTGGGCCAATGTCAGACACCCTCGGTAGTAAACAGACGCATATTGTCTTCCAGGAACCCAACCACCAAAGACACTATATTAAACACGTTTTATGATTGAGGAAGTAGCAATTAAACCACGCCTGGTGTAATAATTATCACCTAGCTGTGCTGACTTTAACATTTTCCTTCCATTGTTGGTACGGGTCTCTCTCAGTTCATCTCAAATCTAAAATAGACAAATTTGTTAACACTGCAAGTAAAATCGCTGGAGTCAGATTTGAATGTTTATCATCAATATATGAGCGGCAAATCGTGAATCAAGCTGTCAAAATCATATCTGACCTTACTCACTACTTAAATTCGGAATACAACCTCCTCCCTTCAGGCCGCCGCTACAAAGTTCCAATTGTGAAAACTATGAGAGCCCGTAGATCCTTTATTACAAGTACCATATCTCTCTTAAACAAATGTGAAGGTACCTAAATCAAAGAATTTATGTAAATATGTTTGGTATCTCTCTAATGTGTCAGTAGCTCTGCTGATGTAACACAAATTCCTGAAAAGGCATTCTATTCTATTCTATTCTATTCTATTCTATTCTATTCTATTCTATTCTATTCTATTCTATTCTATTCTATTCTATTCTATTCTATTCTATTCTATTCTATTCTATTCTATATATTGTGATATGCCTACTAGTAGTTACATGCACCTATTGCGCTGAAACTGGAGGACCATGGCCATATGTTTTTTTGCTTGACCCCAGTTTTCGTAATCACGGATGCCAGATTTTATACCACAGTGCTGCGGAATGCAACTGTTGTTTGAGTGAGAAGGCGCTGAGGATCATGAACATGGCCATATTATTGATTGAAGTCAGGCGATTGCATTTAACACAGACCATAACTCAACTTTAGACAAGGCTAGAGGAGTCATCATGGAGTTTCTTCCAGAACGAAGCCGTCACTGATTCAAGGGTGATTATGTAATCTCTGAACTTGAATCGCACAGTGTCAACACGTCCTGGCAGTCTGCACAAAAGATTAATGGATGAGTTTGTGACAATTGTGGACTCAATTATGTAATCCAATTGGTCTGAGGAAGTATGTGCATGCATGCAGTGGCTGTAATCTGATACATGTTGCCGGAAACTTGGCTCTGGAGATACGACGTGATACTGTTCAGTGTAGACGGCTATGGTTTGACATTCAATTGCAGTGTGTGTGTCTAACGACGAATCAATGTATTACAACACGGCAATTGCGCATTCTGAAATTTGCTGTTTAATAGTCCGCTCATATGGCGCTCATATCCAGGCACATTGCCTGCTCACGGCGCTACGTACATTACTATCCTCGGTCATAGCACACTACCGTACTTTCCGATACTTTTTCAACTCCCTGGGGTTCATATAGCCATGCTGCCTGTTAGGCGCAATGAACTAAACACTCACATTACAGTACCCATTTTACAGCTGTGTAAACTGAGACAATGTGGATCTAAGCATCTTGTCAAAGGGTACTGCGCAAATGTGTCCAGCTCGTGACCCGAACCTAGGTGCCTCCACCGGGGATCGAACCAGGGCCTTCAGCGTGGTAGGCAGACGCCTTACCACTGCACTATTGCACTCCACTGGCGCTGAGTAGTATTTCAGCCCTATGACGACGGTCTGTAAACTCTGACGAGTCTGGACCTAGCAATCCAGTGGTGGACATCATTGGCATCGACCCGTGAAGATCCGGGGTAGAATAGGTCTTCAGCAACCCATGTGCTTGCCATAAAAGGCGACTATGCTTGTCGTAAGAGGCGACTAACGGGATCGGGTGGTCAGTTTCGCTGACTTGGTTGACACATGTCATCGGTTCCCAATTGCGCAGATCGATGCTCATGTTGATCACTGGATTGTCTGGTCCAGACTCGATTATTTACAGACCGCCGCCATATAGCTGGGATATTGCTGAGTGCGGCGTAAAACTAAACTCACTCACTCACTCATCATTGGCATCGGTCTACGTGCGGCGTTTGTAACAAACGCAAGACGCAGGTTGTACCAGAGATGTAGGACTAAAAGACCAAGGCCATGACGTATCAACGTCCGATATGTCTTCCGAGTATAAGACTACATGGATGAGTGATTAGCTGACTGTATGTAAATCATTGACGTCGACAATGCATGATAATACTTTCTTTTCCAATGTTTTAGGCTCGATGGCGCTTATATTGACCACCCTTATACTTCTATTGTTCTTAATTACTAAAAAAAAAGAAGAAGAAAAAACACGTACCTCCTGGAACATGAAAAAGGTGCCCTCCTTCTACGGACTGAATAATTATATTTAACGCCGCCGTACGGTGGGTAGCCTAGTGGTTAAAGAGTTCGCTCGTCACGCCGAAGACCCGGATTCGATTCTAGACATGGGTACAATGTGTGAAGCCCATTCCTGGTGTTCCTCGACGTGATATTGCTGGAATATTGCTAAAAGCGGCGTAAAACCATACTCACTCACTTTAACGCCGCAGTTAGCGTTATGCCAACTATATTACATCAACTTGTAAAGTCGTCATCAGACAAACCTATGACTGAAGTTATAAGGTTTCGTTTGTTCTTTTACGCAGCACTCAGCAATATTCCAGCTATATGGCGGCGGTCTGTAAATAATCGAGTCTGGACTCTGGACTAGACAATCCAGTGATCAACATCATGATCATCGTTCTTCGCAGTTGGGGTAAGATGACATGTGTCAACCAAGTCAGCGAGCCTGACTACCCGAACGCCTCGAGCTCTTACAACAAGCATGGGTTACTGAAGACCAATTCTAACCTGGATCTTCACGGGTGGAAGTTAGGTACGATCCCTTTAAACACAGTCGGGAAATCACGGAAGCCAACCGATCAACCGACTCTTAGGGAGCAACCATTATGTTTGGGTGTAAGATCAGCATTTTGTTTTAGAGAACGTTTTAGAGTTCAATTATTTCTTCCAATGAACAGGCGTATATACGCTGCGTGACTGAATATAAGGACTCAAATGTTCTTTAATAAAATCTTCTGGAGTGCATTATTTATTTGCAGTTTAATACAAGAAGTTGTGAGTCGGAATGTGGTTTCTGATATTCCAGTACATTCGGTCTACAAGGAAATGGCACATAATAATGCCCTCATACACAAGCGAGTCAAATGCAATTTCTTTTCATTTGGGGCCTGACACTATTTTAGAAGAATTCCCGGACCAAGCCCCTTTGCAAAAAGGGACACTCCATACCTCACTTTGATTTCTAACACAGCCAGATCAGTAATTATCGAACTATGTCACCCCTAAACAATACGTTTAACCTAGGTAATCTCCGGAAACATACCAGGTCAATTTATGCAAAATCTGTTTGCACAGGGTCTCATTGATTTTTAGTTCCTGTCAGGCGCAGTGAGCCCTTCCTGTCTCCATGACTGATCAAGGATATCGTTCACAGGATGATATCCTGAATCGATACTAGTTCAATATGTGTAATGTCAGATGGCGCTGTTATCGATTTTATGTCCCACCCGGTAACAACCTGAGTGATTGATAGCGAGTCCTGGGGAATATTGGCCATGCTTCGTGAACTAAACCTTCACGTGGGTACCAGATCATGGCCAAACCGACATTGACTTTACACATCAAAGATTTGATTGTGAAAAAATCGCTTGCTAAGTAAAGAAATGTATGACACCGCTGACATAACACGGCGAGCTTTAGGCGCACGTGCAAGATAATGGTGGTATCTTGAATAATGGATTGTCGGATTTCGACTTGCCTAGCGCTAGAATTTCAATGTTTAGCGTCTCATGATTCTGTGATTGATCGAGCACGTTTCAGTAATTAAAGCGTGAGTTTGCGTTATTTAAGGTGTTGAAAAAACATATTTCCCCCCAAACGTCTAACGTTCGAGAACTAGACATTTTCTTGAATTATATGCAAAAGCAGAAGTAGCAACGTGCATGTCAAAATCTAATTAAAATCAGATCTTAGTGCTTTAGAAGAAGGATATGATTTTAACGAGTTTGGTGTACATTGTATTTTAAGGCTTTTCCTGAACATATGGTACAAAAACACAACTCTCACTTTTTATCACACATTACTGAAAAGTACACCCTAAATATTTATAAGCCATCACCATAGGCGGATCCAGGATATTTCAAGGGGGAAGTATGTGTGTGTGTGTGTGTGTGTGTGTGTGTGTGTGTGATTGGATTGGGGAAAGGGGGGGCGTCACTACTCACACGCAATGTGTCCAAACGCTAGTTGCAATAACAAGGATTTAACGGACTTGATACAAGTCATGGTTGGTTGGTTGGTTCGTTCGTTCGTTTGACGTTGCAATATTCCAGCTATATGGCGGCAGTCTGTAGATAATAGAGTCTGGACCAGACAATCCGGTGATCAACAGCATGAGTATCGATCTACGCAAATGGGATACGATGACATGTGTCAACCAAGTCGGCGAGCCTGACCTCCCGATCCCATTAGTCTCTTCTCACTACAAGCATGGGTTGCTGTAGACCAATTCTAACCCGGATCTTCACGGGTCGATACAAGTCAAAGGATATCATTCGATGACCACACAAGTCGAGAATGCTTTCAAAACCCGACGAATCTTAACTCCTAACCGATCACATTAATTTAACATTAAAGGATATGTACACGCTTTCCTAACTCTTGAGTGACCTTCACCTGAAACGTCAGTTAATCTTTTCTTTCATTACGACACAATCTAAAGTTATCAACATGTAAATCCCCAAACTGTTAATAAGAATAGGTACCATGTCATTACAAACGTCTGACAGACACATTTACGCCACAGCGTCTACATTTGATCTTAGTCAACTAAAGTGAGTGAGTTTACTTTTACGCCGCTTCTAGCAATATTCCAGCAAAATCACGGCGGGGGACACCAGAAATGGGCTTCACACATTGTACCCATGTCGGGAATAGAACCCGGGTCCTTGGCATGACGAGCGAACGCTTTAACCACTAGGCTACTCCACCGCCCCAGTCAAGTGCACATTTACTGTCGCTGTACTATAATCAGAATCATTAGATATCGTGTGTGTCATTGTGAGTGCGTGCGTTTGCGTGTGTATATGTTGGTGTGGTACAGTCATAGGACTGTCTGGTGCAAACACGAGTATTTAGGGCGAGGTGAAATAGAACTATTGCTGAATTCGTGGTTTAATAAGAGTGAGTGAGTATGGTTTTACACCGCTTTTAGCAATATCACGGCGGGGGACACCAGAAATGGGACTTCACACATTGTACCTATGTGGGGAATCGAACTTGGGTCTTCGGCGTGACGAGCGAACGTTTTAACCACCAGGCTACCCCACCGCCTGTTTAATAAGAAAGAAACCAGCGATGACACACACACACACCATCAAGTCAACAAGCTCGACGGTATATATATTTACTCGCCAATTACGTTAAGCATACGACAAGCATAAATTTCTTCTGGAGACCAATTCTATCACGAAATATCCACGAGTTGATATAATACAATTTTATGGTATATCGTGAGTATACTCAACAATTACGTAACAAGGATTGGAAAAAAATAAATGTTTATTTCGACAGGCAACATGAAAAAATAATGTCATAGTTTAATACTGAACGATACGACTTGAACAGATACGTTACAGTTATAATTGTGAAGCATAAATGGCACGTATAGCATTAACGAGTTTCATGCGTGCCAGGAATTCCGGTCTGGAACATCAAATGATTCTTTGAGTTCTTTCAGCACATTTTCTGTCACTAAACTTTACATATTGATATCGTTGTTTGAAAATAAAATTTTATCAATGACTTTTTTGGGTGAAATATTTGTCCAGGCTTATTTTTTCCTTAGACTCACAAGTAAATATCTACACCCTGTGATTTCAGATGAACAATGATGACATGGTTGTGAGTGGTTCAATAGAAAATGTAAAAGCAGGCAACGCATTGTTTGAAGTATTCTTCCAGTAAAGCATGCTTATTGCTAGTGTATGGCAATATGATAAACCAGGCGAATCTGGGATCGAACCCAAGACAATTGGCTCACCCAAGGGATACTGCTGTGCAGAGCGAACTGACAACTCGGCACTGCATATGCAGACTCTCGGGTGTCTGAATGGGTAATCGGGTCACTCATAGTTTACTAGTATCTTACTAACAAATTTTGCCCTGTAAACTCATAACATAGCTCCAGAATAATCTAATGATCTCTTTAATGAAAAAATAGATTTTCATTCACGTTATTGTTTGTTTCGGTAGAATTTCGCCTTTTCATTTTAAAACATACTAAACGTGGTGTATAATGCGTAATACAATGACAAATATCTCTGAAAGCTTCAGTTAATCTGTGATAGCTCGTGATTCGTGATGCATGTGCATTTCGTAACCATTCACTGATGAAGTGCATCACTCGTTCACTCTTCAAGGCATCAATGAAAAATGTCTCTCACGAGTTGAGATCGTTGTTGCAAAGATCATCATGCACTAAGCAGTATCAGTGTTCCAGCGTTGTCCCTATGTTTCATGCATATTGATTGACGTGTGTCGTAGCACCACGTATGTCTGTGAGTAACGCTTAGTATTGTTTCATTGAATCTCCTTGTTCATGTTCAGTTGTAAAATTGTCCACAACATGTTGGCATAGTGACAGTGGTTCTACTGTCTGTCACAAATTGATATAGTGCCCATCTGACGTTCGTATCAGCGTTCACAGTCATATGTTGAAATGGTGACCTTTATCTTGACATCTGACGTTCGTCTCAGATGTTCTAGTCAGGTGATTACTCTGATGTACTAATGTCTGTTGCACGTGAAGAAAGTGATAGTTGGGGTTTCTTCGGCGTTCACAATCCGATGTACTACTGTCTGTCACCAGTTGAGATGGTGACTTTTATAACGGGATTGAGGAAGTCGTCTTTCTCGGTTGATTCTGTCGACATGGAGGTAGGCGCCCTTTCAGACAGCTGCTTGTTCCACTGCAATGCCCTGTTCATCGCGTCTGAAGTGGAGAAAATCAGTATCAACAGTTTCACTGCATTTATTACAGGGTTTATGCTACTTCTCACATCTCGGCCTTCAGTGTACGTATTCACCTTCTCCCGCTACTTATCTTCAATAACAATCACAATTGACAATCACGCCAAACAATAACTATCAATCCCAAGCGGATTAACATAATTACCCTTAATTGGTACAGCTACACCTTGTTCAGCTTGATCTGGGCCCCGTTTCACAAAGCTCTCGTAAGCCTGAGATCTCGTAAAATTTCTCGTAGCATTCGTACCTCCTATGTTACAGTATAGGAGGTACGAATGCTACGAGAAAAGTTACGAGATCTTAGGCTTACGACAGCTTTGTGAAACGGGGCCCTGAGCTACTCTGCATATGACATGACCCGGGAGGTCAAATGGCACAAACGGCAGGTCGTGTTAACTTCATTAAATAGGGGAACAGAGAATGTTATGAAGTACACAATGCCATTTAGAAAGTGGTCAAATGTAACATATGTTATATATTTGGGATTACACTTTCTTAGTAAAGTACAGGTCCTATTCTCCAGACTCTGAGGGTGTGGGTTCGAATCCCGGATCGGACTCTACCCAACGAAAGTACTTCTGTACTTTACAAAGAAAGTGTAATAGATCTAAAATATTACGCAGAGTTATTAATGTTGCGTTCGTGCGAGTATGGTGTGGGTTCAGAACTTGTCCCGGATGGGACAGTCATATATTATCTAGTTTGGTTTACCAACGTACAAAGTTACTTACTCAATCCGATTCACTCTCGCTGTCACACTCTACACCCAGTTCAAATATCACTTTTTCTATTTCATCTTCAACTGCAATATTTCTGTCACAATAGTCCCCTAAAAGCCCGAATCAGAAACATAAAACTATCTATAGCTTCTTTTTAAAAGAAAGTTAGGAAATTGCTGACGATTTCTCAACACTGAGATGTCAAACGACAACCTTGTCTCGGCTGTTCGGACATGTTGACAATCAACTGACAAAGGTGCACCCCTTCACAATAAGACATAACCAGTTGTGACACGGTCACGCATTGCATTAGTATTCACTTGATCAGGTCAAGCTGAACAAGCTGAACAAGCTGTACTTATCCCAGTTTTGACAGTGGTCATTCTTTTCCATTCTGTTAGTCCCAGTTTTGTAACGAAACCTCACACCTCAACGGATCAGTGACCAAGACGCTGTCAAAAATGGGATACTACCTATTACAGTACAACCAGAAATTACTGAAAATTTAAAGATTGTAATTTTTATAATTTTTCACTCATTACTCACGCATTAAATGTGAATATTAGCAGAACATAACTCCAGATTCAAAGACAGGTGAACAGTTAGTATTTTGACAAGTCACCATGGGCAGCAATGCAGGCTTCAATGCGGCGGGGCATACTACTGATCAAAGAAGTTAGAAAGTCGTGGTCCATGCTGTCCCAATATCGGACCACCTCTTCTTTCATTTCAGCAATAATTGTCAGATTTTTCTTATTGAAACTTTGCCTTGGATTGAGTCCCCTAACATTTTCTATTGGATGCCTGTGAATGCTTTGAATGATGTTTTGGGTCGTTGTCCTGCTGGAAAATCCAAAACTTTCCATAGAACACGTGAGCAGATGGAAGTAAATGTCCCTCGAGAATATCTGTGTACCGCTCACTGTTCATATTCCCTTCAATTACACAGAGGGGCGTTGCCCCTAACACAGATATGCCACCCCACAAGTTAAATTTCGGTCTGTACTTTGGGCGCTGATACAAAGGTTTTCAGTTTGTTTGGTCCAGAATTTCAGTGTATTAGGAAACAGCCACACAGAACTTTCATCTGAGAAAATCACATTGTCCCAGTTAAAATTTCTATGCTGTAAGCACCAGTTCAACCTTCGCTCCTTTTGTTCAGGTTTCATGATCGGTGATGGAATTCCTCGACGTTTCTGCCAACCCATTGTATGCAGCTCAGTTCTAATTGTCTCCTTACAGACAGCCACAGTTCCTCTATCAATCATATCCAGCCATAAGTTTTCTAAACTCCTTCGTTTGTTTTTAGAAACAAGAATACCGCCGCCTCCTGTCACCGACAGTCAATTTTCTGGGCCTACCTGCGCCTCCCTGGTGCTCAATGCCATATCCATTTGCAATATATTTCAAAACACGATAAACAGTAGACAAAGTGATGCCTGTTCTACTTGAAATCACTTTAGCTGATCTGATGTCCTTGTTATAATACTCTAAAATCAACTTCTTCTCTCTAAATCATCCATACTGTCGTCTGCTTGCAAGTAAACAAAGGGGATAACTCTTCACAAACTAATGGAAAAGGATTAACGGAGTTGTCTCTCTTTAATGAAACCAAGCACTTGATAGCTGGTCAAGGTTGTTTATACTAGAAATCCAATTAAACATATTCCTAAAATTCTCAATAATTCCTGGTCATACTATATAGCAAACACCTAATTATAGCCAATACGTACAAATCACCATTGTTTAAATAGAAAATATATTAACAAGATTTAATCCTTCCAACAGTAAACCTTTCCTTTATGTGGAGCAACATTAAAACTCCAACAGTTGGTGTCTAGATTTTCACAACGTACAATTTATCGCCCCATTTTTACAAAGATTGTAGACAGTGTCATGCGACTCTTATTCAAACGTTTATTATCACAATTCTAACATTCAAGGCCTTGGTAAACCCTCCGCAAGGTTTTATGGTTTACATGACGGGGATACTTCCACATCTGATGTATTCGTGACAATACGACATCCAGACACATTACGAGCATGAGACGACGGTGTCCGGCTGTGAGGATACTACGTGGGTCACAAACGCGCTTTTCTGAGAGATGGTTTATTGGACAATTAACCTGTTAACGTGTGATCTGACTGATTATTGGTCGTTTGTTTGCAGATGACAACGGACGAGTTCTTTTAACAATATTGTCTTAGCTATTCCAACATGCACACAACTGATCCTTAGCAAACATTACAATATAATATAGACGCCGGAATATCGGCGTTGTTGTCAAATGGTTCCAATACTAAGGGAACCACTCTGTTCTTGAACACAGCCGCGGTGTTATATTCCCTGAACACTTCCATGTTGTTACGTTCACACGCAACTAGGTGCCGTTTTGGGGATTACTCTGTTCTGATAAATTCCCGAACACTTCCATGTTGTCACGTTCCAATACTTACTCTGTTCTGATATAATTCCCGAACACTTCCATGTTGTCACGTTCCAATACTTACTCTGTTCTGATAAATTCCCGAACACTTCCATGTTGTCACGTTCCAATATACATGTAATTACTCTGTTCTGATAAATTCCCTAACACTTCCATGTTGTCACGTTCCAATATACATGTAATTACTCTGTTCAGATAAATTCCCGAACACTATTCCAACATGCACACAACTGATCCTTAGCAAACATTACAATATAATATAGACTTCCATGTTGTCACGTTCCAATACTTACTCTGTTCTGATATATTCCCTAACACTTCCATGTTGTTACGTTCCAATATACTTACTCTGTTCTGATAAATTCCCGAACACTTCCATGTTGTCACGTTCCAATACTTACTCTGTTCTGATAAATTCCCGAACACTTCCATGTTGTCACGTTCCAATACTTACTCTGTTCTGATAAATTCCCGAACACTTCCATGTTGTCACGTTCCAATACTTACTCTGTTCTGATATATTCCCGAACACTTCCATGTTGTCACGTTCCAATACTTACTCTGTTCTGATATATTCCCGAACACTTCCATGTTGTCACGTTCCAATACTTACTCTGTTCTGATAAATTCCCGAAAACTTCTATGTTGTCACGTTCCAATACTTACTCTGTTCTGATAAATTCCCGAACACTTCCATGTTGTCACGTTCCAATACTTACTCTGTTCTGATATATTCCCGAACACAGCTATAGTAGCATTTCTCCGCTCTCTCGCTGTAAGCTGTTTGGGTGACGATAACGGCTGCCCGTAGGATAGCGATCGCTTCTGAGCAGTCAATTCAACACTACACAAGATCCGAGACTTCTGTCTTTCCATTGTTTCACTGTCCGGATCACCTGGAACCCTTTCAGTTACAGATGCGAGCGACTTTGCCTTCGCATTGCTAACGACAACAGCGTCCTTCCTGCTATTACGTTTCCTCATTCCATATGCTGTGTTGGGCGGAGCGGGAGGATCGAACCCAAACACCTGAGGCATAAGCATGTCTATGTTGACATCAATCTCCCTGTTTCTGACTGGGGACTTGCCCCGAACATTCAACTGTTCATTTTCAGATTTCTTCCACGCGTCTCTATGGCGACCATATGTACCATACTGTGGGTCTGGAGAATGGGACCGAGTACTATCGATTTCTGGAAGCTTATTCTGTGAGTTTCTGGTTATAAACGGTTTCTTTGCCTTCACCGACGGAATCATCTGGGGGTCAAAACTTTTCGGTCTGTTTGTATGAGTATTACTGACACGGTTTTCTCGAAACAACGAAAAGGAAGTTTTAAGGGACACAGGACGACATGACGCTATCCAGTTCACAGTTTCCTCAGATGAGGCGGAGACCGGTGGCAGACGGTCACGGTAAACAACATCCTGCAAAGTTCCCGAGTCTGTAGACGTTGTTGTCGGAGTAGACGTAGTAGAGTCTGATCTGGCCATCATGCCTGGAAGGATAAAGCCTTCCTCCACACCCTTCACCATGAGGAGATAGGCAGCTGAGGCACTGTCTACCTTCCTCTCACTGACAGAGTAAAGCAGTTCCCTTTCATTAAATCCAAAGTACTGGGAGAGGTATCTGACTATGTTAGTATCTACAGGTTCTGGTGTGACCTTGAGAACCTGGGGCTGACGCGGAACGGGTGCGCGGCCATCTTTGGTGAGCCAGGGGTGAGTTAGAAGGTCGTCCATCGTTATCCTCTTGCTTTCGAAAGGCTCGAGCAGACGACATAGAAAGTCTTTGCAACCTGCACGAACACATTAATATGTTATGAACATGTCAGTAAAGTAACATTGCTCTTAACCTTTGTAGAAATATCGATCAGTTATGTCTGACTCTTGAAATTCAATGAATTATTTACTCAGCTACGTGCACCGTAGCACGTTACAGTCTGCGACAAAGCAGGAAGATGGGACTGGGACAGAAACCATAGAATCACTTAAGATACTCTGAAAAAGTTACAGTCGTTATGGTGTACGTATAGGTGAGTGAAGTTTGTACACCGTTGTCAATACACCAATAGACTAACATATCGTCTTTGGAATGAACAGAAAAACGGTTCTTTAATTATCTTGATAAAATATATTGAAAAGAAGCCCAGACTCTTTCATCATTTTCAGACGGGCAATCTAGACTTGCCACACATTCCACACTTGCTTGGACTGTATAGGGTATATTTGTTTCAGTGTGTGTATGACGGATCAGCGAGTCAGTGTAACTGTATAGAAATATCGGACTGTTACTTTATCCAGGAGTTCAAACTAGGTGACTTTGGCAGGCAAATTGAAAAAATAGACTGATACTGAGTGTTCTTATTTGCGTAAATTCTTAAAAACAATCGGGAATGACTACTCAAAATATTTCTACTATCATGTTTTCCAGACTTGGCATTGTCTAGTCAAATCCGTAGTCTAACGTCTCTGAATTTATCTGTCAAAGTATCCCCAAGCTAAAATATAGCCTGTTTATATAAGGATCCCCATTGTCTTATTTTGTCAACAAAACGCTACTGTTGCAGATAGTTGCAGATAGTAGGCAGACATTACCTGGAGACAGACCCTCTGGAATCCGACAGCCTTGGATGATGTTGGCGTGGATCTGCTGCATAGAGGTCGGGGTGTCTGACATGAAAGGCAGTTTGCCGCACAGCATTGTGAAGACGCACACACCTCTGAAATACATGTAAAATGTGTTTTACAGATACAGTTGTACAGTTTATGCGTATATTACTATAGGACAACACTTTACAACGGGACAATCAGAAGCTTCTTATTTAACAACAACAATAACTATTTGCAAAATAACTTGAAATTAACTCTTTGCAGCCAAACTTACCCCTTTCAAACTGATCGCCTCCGTGGTGTAGTGGTTAGAGCGTCCGCCCAGAGAGCGGAAGGTCGCGGGTTCCATCCCCGACCGCGTCATACCAAAATACGTTCAAATATGGTACTTGTTGGTCCCAGTCTGGCGCTCGGCATTAATGGGTACAACAAGGACTGGTCGGCTCGGAGTCAGTATAATGTGTCTGAGTGAGGTATTCATGCTTCACTGCGGCATGGTATCTCAGTGGGCTAGCACTATAAAACCAGCTTCAGTCTGGGCTAGTACAAGCAGCCGCACATACACATACACACGCATGCACGTCGTCATATGAGCGAAATATTCTCAAGCACGACGTTAAACCCAATTTCCCCTCACCTTACCTTTCAAACTGTACCCTCGTTGACGGATTGTTAAACTTCCACTTTGCAAGGACTGACTATCTCGAGAGATTTGCTGTTCTTGTGTTCCAAATGTTTTGAGATATTTAATGACGCTCATGGCTCAGCCTTCTGTTTGTGAATGATAGATTTTCAAACTAACTTATTTAACTGTTTACTGTACACTCCAAATCTGAGGTATTAGTTGAGCCAGCAGTAAGGGTACTACAACCAATCATGTACTCTGTATAATCTCACATGCTCCATATATCTGCAGCTGGTCCGCCCTGCTTCCCCGTGAACATCTCGGGGGCGACGTAGGCCGGGGACATTCCCTGTCCAGGTTGGGAGGAACCGGGGCCGGGGTGGCTCCCCTGTCCGAAATCTGGGACACACAGTAAAAACCGGTTTTAGACTAATGATGTATAGCCATGCTATATTGATGATATATCATGATGTCTAATGACCAACCAGTTGGCATCCACGTGTCTAGTGACCATGGATTGAGGTCCTTCGGTTTTATTGATTGAACAACGAAAATACATTTTTGTGGTGTTTTTCGAGAAATAATGATGATGGTTCTTTCGAAATACACAATGTACAATTTACAACTTATATTATGATATTATATTCAGAATGAAGATGTACTGATGACATACCGCTTATTTTCAAGTTCAAATCCTTGTCCAGCAGAAAGTTGTCCAATCGAAGATCTCTGCAACATAAACATTACAGATGAATGAAGAAGCTTTCGGGTTGTTCTCAAGTTTGAGCGAGCCGGTCATTCAATTTATCTAGAATAAGGTCACTGATGTGAAAAATGAATATACGCATTAATATCGTGTATATCTATGTGTATGCTACTTGAGGTGAAAAGAGATTTGTGTCTGAGTGAGCGGTCTAATGGTAATCTATCGGCAATATTTCAGCTATCAGTTCTGTAAATAATGGAGCGTGGTCCAGACAGTCCAGTGATTGACATGATCATTTGTCTATGCAACTGGGATACAAAGATATGCGCCAACAAAACCAACGAGTCTGAACCCCGGTTCTGTTAAGTCCATTAGGCTTACTACAAGCACTGGTTCCTGAATAATTTAACGGATGGTGTGTCTTTAATTTGTACTAGTCTGCACTTATGCCGGGTCGTCAGGTTCGCTGACTTGGTTGATCCATGTCATCCTTTCCCAATTGCGTAGATCGATGCTCAAGATGCCAATCGCTGGACTGTCTGGTCCACGCTCGCCGTCAAATAGCTGGAATCTTGCTGACTCGGAGTTTAACAACAGACAAACATTCTTACCTGTGGACAATGCCAGACACGTGCATGTGGTCCACTGCCGACACAAGCTGGGAGACAAACTTCCGGGCTTCGTTCTCGTCAAGACACCGCCTATATTGTGTGAGGATGTCCTTTTAATACATGTATATGACATATGAAAATATGTAACAGGTATCCACATGGACACTTAGATCAGTAAAGCGTTTACACGACCCTTTAGGATTTGATTTAAACATATTTATTCAAGAGAATGGATTGGGTACAAGTTATGCCAACTTAGTGAAACCCTCTCCTATTTACAGTGCTTACATGCAAAAGTGAAACAAACTATATGTACAGGGATAGAAAGATATATACAAAATGATATATACAATACAATGAATACATGAATTATTTAGATCATACACATTATATCTGATCACTGAACCTTTTGGAATTTGATATATATTTTTGAACTTCTTTAAAAATGTGAATATTGTCACTATACGGAAGATCTGCACTGCCATTTAATAGTACGTCTAGGTTTGTTGGTGCTTTAATGTTACAAATTCTGCTAATATTTTGAAACATTTCCTGTCTGATAACAGAATACAAAGAACATTCCATAAAATAATGTTGAGAATTTTCACAGGTAAATTTACAATTACATTCGGGGTTCTCTATGAGACCGATCCTATATAGATCACCATTTAATCTACTATTTGAATATCTTAGCTGGGTATGAATTACATTGAGTTTTCTATTACCAAATGAGAAATATCCTGGTGCTTTTGACTTACGAGAGCTTATATGCGATTTAAAACTTTTAAGGGAAACTGATTCTCTAACATATAAAGGGAGATTATTCCAAAGTTGTGCAGATGATGGGAAAAATGATTGACTGTAGAGATTTGTGCGGGAATAGTACAGGGAAAGATCACGAATGTTTCTAAGATTATAATTTGTCCTAGATTCAACAGTTTGCGGCATAAGATCACAAAGGTAGGATGGAGCATTTTTGTTGTATACATTATAGAATAAAGACAGTTTACGACATCTTCTTCTTTCTTTTAACATTTGCCAACCTGTTTCATATATCAGAGTATCTCTAGTGGCATATTTTGGTAAACCAGTAACTATCCTGGCGGCCTCAAACTGAACTTTTTCAATTTTATCGGTTAAATCTACCGAACAACCATCCCACAATTCACAAGCATATTCAAGATGTGGTCTTATGAATACAATATAAATCTTATTAAGAGTGTCTCTGTTTAACATAAACTTTAATTTTCTCATTGATGAAACCATCAAGGACGTTGTTTTACAATGTTATCAATATGTGTGTTCCATTTACAATCAGAAGAAAATGTTACTCCAAGATGTTTATGAGATTTTTCCAAACGTACACACTGAGTTTCAAATTCTAAATTTAGAATTGTATTATTATTCTTAAGACTGAAAAGTATAGCTTCTGTTTTGTTGGGATTGTATATCACAAGCCAACGTTTTGCCCAGCACGATAAATATTGTAGGTTCTTATTGAGTGTCTCTTGCATAAGCCTGTGATTGATAGATGAAAATCCCATTGATGTATCATCTGCGAACAAGCGTGCAGCACAATCTAGTTCATCGGCAATATCATTAACATATACTATAAACAGAAAGGGGCCCAGGACTGATCCCTGGGGTACCCCGGCTGCAAGAGATTTGGGATTTGATAATGAACCATTTAAAACACCTTTTGAGTCCTGCCACTGATGTAACAGTGTATCCATTTAAGTAATTCTTCACCTATACCGTAGCTTATTAATTTATGCCGTAATCCTCGGTGCCACACTCTGTCAAAGGCCTTTGAAACATCACAAAACACCATGCAATAGTCTTCACGTCTATCTAGAGCTGAGCAAATATTGTTATGAAGTTCTATTAACTGATGAGTCGTAGAATGGCCTACTTGAAATCCGGACTGATATTTGTATAACAATCTATTGTCCAGAAAATAATTAGACATATGCTTCATGACAACTCTTTCAAAGATTTTTCCTAAACAACTGATTAAAGAAATGGGTCGGTAATTACTACAACTAGATTTATCTCCTTTTTATAAAGCGGCATGACATGAGCTTATCGTAACTCCCACACTTTAACACAGACTTACGACAGTCGTAGCGCTACGATCGCTTTGAGGAACGGGGCCTTTGGTCCCGATCCACAAAGTGTTCGTAAAGTTACGACCTGTCGTAACTCTATAATTCATCATTAGCATACGAATGTCGTAGCGCTACGAACGCTTTGTGGATCGGGACCCTGGATCCGACCAGCCTGCCAAAGAGTTCACTTAATAGAACACTCTGATTTTGTCGAGATACGGTATCGACGCTTGCTCATGATATCAATCATAGGTCTGCCGTTACAGCGGTGGCATTATGATGTGTGCGGCTTTAACCAACCAACAAACGGCTCTGCTGAAGAATAGTGTATATTTGCCCAGTACTTCAACAGTAATTAAAGATAACAGTAATTAAGCTATAAAGACAACTGAGTGTTCTAACTGAAGTGAGCGGTGGTGTAGCCCAGTGGTTATAGCGTTCGCTCGCCACGCAGAAAACACGGGTTTGATTCCCCACATGAGTACAATGTGTGAAGCCCATTTCTTGTATCCCCCACAGTGATATTGCTGGAATATTGCTAAAAACGGCGTAAAACTAAAACTCACTCACCGTCATTGAAGTATAGCTGCACACACAAACACACTGGTGTCAATACCACAATCAAGAGCACCGTTGACATTGTTTGATCGGCAAGTTACCTTTAGCTTGATAACCATGTAAGAATCTACATTCCCCTACTGCGTTTTGCATGTATTACTATCTTGGCTGCTGCTAATTAATATTCAAACTTCCAAAATACCATACGACACTAAACATATTTTACAGAAGGCTGGCGCTCAGAATAATTACATATTTATTAGACTACATAATCACATTTTTTTCATTTCAGTATGAAAATATACATGGCAAAGAGAATAGCAGGTGTAAGATGATGTTCATTAACTCCGGCTGCGATAACCCTGGCCGTGTCCCACGACCTTTACCATAAAGACATTACACTGTCTCCTATATATATATATATATTACTTCTTGTACACACAAAAGACCATGATCATACCCACGCTGCTTGTGTCGATCTACGAGTAATAATACCTCTCTACAAATGGAAGAAAAGTAACAAAGAAAATAGTATGGGATTACCGCCAAAGACGGTCTCCGTGGGGTGGCGATATTTAACCACATTTGGTCATTTCCAAACCTTATCAATCATTATTTTCATAAGCACCGACAGGCTTTTATAATGAGAAAGAGTCCAGCTTGATTTACACAAATCCCAGACACTGCGTCTTAGCATACAGATCGTTATTACAACTTTCCCATTCGGTATGTGTTGAGTATGTAACGTGACCCCACCCCTGTGTTGTATTTGTCAGGATTATATTGAAACTGTTTGGAATTACCTGTCTAGAATAGGCTTTCAGTGAAAATGTCATAGCAGTCTGTTGGTGTGAGGCTGCATAAATACTCACAGTTGGTTTATTCCTAGTTTACAAGTAACCTCAAACATCCGAGTACAAGGCGACAAAGCACAGTGTCGCCATGATTTGTCAGGCTGCTCCAAAGCATTGGCCTCATTGTATGGTTAAAAGGTTGTTACAACGTTTCACGATCACCGCCTCTAGTTTTTGAATGGTGGTCTCTCGTCAACTGTATTTATATTCAATGCAGCAGGCATATAAATATACTGTACATAAGGTATTAAAAGTGAGTTCGTATGGTTTTATGCCGTTTTAGGAATTATATTCCAGCAACATCACACCAGAAATGGGTTTCACACATCGGACACGTGTGTGGAATTCGAACCCGGATCTTCGGCGTGTTGAGGGAATGCTTTAACTATTAGGCTACCCCACCGCCCCAAGTATTAACATGAACACCAAGCGTCTTTGGGTCTTTGAGTTGGTTATAAGTTACGGGACATTCACGTTTAGATTTTCCAAATCATAATCATGTTTTCTCCAAGTAGGGGGCGGTGGGGTAGCCTAATGGTTAAAGCATTGGCTCGTCACGCCGAAGACCCGGGTTCGAATCCCCACATGGGCACAATGTGTGAAGCCGATTTCTGGTGTCCCCCGCCGTGATGTTGCTGGAATATTGCTAAAAGTAAAAGCGGCGTAAAACCAAACTCAGTCAGTCAGTCCAAGTAGAATTATACCCTTGATTATATTCAGAATCATTTCCACAGACAAATGTCTTGCTTAGATACGAGAGATATCAACATACCTCTTATAAACTCAAATAAATTATTGAATATAGACAGGAATCAGGTGAATCTCAAATGTACGATTTTGGAATAAATATTTCAAAACATTTTCCAGTTCTCTCGTAATCCAAGATTGTAACCAATCGTTTGTCGTCTTGGTACGCGTATATTACGAGACACCCGCCTATACCCGGCAGACAGGGAAACGGTAGCAAATAAGGGTGCAGACACTGACAGTCCGACTAGTTTGTCAAAACCGCAAACCCCATTTCAAAAATACTCTCCATTTCTAATCAAGCAAACAATCCTGCAACCAGCATGAAGGCTTCAATTAGTGTTTTTCAGTGAGGGCGGTATTATGTGAAACTTACGTGCCCATAAGCCGTAATGCAATCAAACGTAGGCCATACATTCTGTACCATTCGCTGTGAAAAGCTTGCACCTTACTTTGACTGAACTGCATGCACTTCCAAGTACCCGACAATACTTGGTTGTCACTGAAACACGTGATCACACCCCACTACAATGTATGTATCCTGTCCACCTGTATAAGGCCGCTATACAATCTGCACTGCCAACATAATAGATGTCTGTGCAGTGTGAGATATAGTGCGTGTTATTAACAAGACGCCGGGTACCTTGGTGCGGGGTATTAGTCCTTCTGAGTGAGTGAGGAAGGCTTTACGCCCCCTTTAGCAATATTCCAGCAATATCACGACGGGGACACCATAATGGATTTCACCCATTTAACCATTGAGAGGAGTACAAACCGTGACCTGCGAACACTGTAACTACCAGGCTACCCACCGTCCCATCCTGCTGAATAGACGCG